CTAGCATTTGAGGGTTGTCACTGAGCCATTTCGGCCCCGTGTATGCATGAATTTCTTGAATTCCCATTTCTCAAATATTTAAACGATACTGAAACTGAAGTAACTTTCATCTCACAGGTATTAAACCTGTAATTACAACATATCCAGCACTCTCAACGCGTTAAAATCCGAGCAGAAACTCGAACCTTAATGCTCAATTAAAAGCGAGTAGCATTCGTGTTGAAATTCGTGGCATCTGTACATTCCTGCTTCCATATTTTATTTCACCATCTCAAATACTTTCTACAACCTTAAACCCCTGCATTTAACAAGTTCATTGTCTTCGTTAAATCCCCTTATTGTATAATTACCGTATTGTAACCATTCTTCTATAGTTCCCATTATATGAATTCAGTTATTAGGTCGTTGACTAAATTCTGCGGATTTTCCACCTTCAAATATTTATCAAAATAATACCGTTACAATTTCTTTTAATCTTCATTTCACAACTCCAAGCTACTTTGCAAGTTTACTCGATTTGGTGTCGACTGGGCCCGGGCTTTTTTTCAACAACACCTCCAAATCATTATATTTCCATTTCTGCTGGTTGTCCAACGCGTTCTTCGTATCTCAAAACAAAATGACCCTCTTACTACTACATATAGGCTTCATCAATCCTTTCGTTTCTGCTGGCATTTTCATCAAATCAATTACAGCAAACTATAATGACGGAAATGCTCTTTGTCAGGTGTCATTATAAAATCAAAATAAACAAATATCTTTCACCTACAGGATAGAATCAGTCGACGTGTTTTGTTATAACAAAATAGTTAATTTTTATGAAACAATAAACAAATGTAAACTCAATACACTCCCACTACCACTGACAAACGGTCCGCAGAACTCGAGTTAACGACCTAATAAAACGAAATAAAACATACATTCGGCAACGTCGTGTTTCCGCAACCGGAAATGAAACGGCGGTCGCGAGCCCCGGCGACGATTTGGAAAATTTTCGCGTTTCATCGACCATCGGAAAATCTATCGGAGTGTCGTAGTCGACGTGGGGGAGGGTTAGGATAGTGGGAGATATTTTTTTTCGCGTGGTCGGCATGATCCATTGAGTGTGAAACCACGTGGTTGGCGCGTGGCCAGCGTTGAGTTATGTTTATAACAACGTTATACAGATTCTACGTGGGATTCACCGGTGCCTCGTAACGGCGATACTATGCGGGCGTCTACGACGATGCGACACGCCGTCAGAAATGTTGGGATCGTGCCCCGCGGGTATTCCGTAAGATTCTCCTCCGTGTTTCCCCCCCCTCTGCTCTCTCTTTTTCTTTGTCGACGACGATTTTCCTTGGCCACCTGCCCGCGTCCGAACTCTTTCCACGTCCCGTCGGTGATTCCCCCCGATTTCTCGCAGTTCCTTGAAAGCATCCCGCATAAACAGGTCTCTGACGATCGATTAAAATTAACAAATTGGCATGCTGGAGCCACTGTGGACGCAAATGTTCGTTGACCGTTATATGTAGACTGCGGATGTTTGTGGAAATGTTGATCTTCAAAGATTTCTGTATGGGGAGTAGAAACAAATGGAAATTAGTTTATTGTATTTAAGATTCTGGACCTGAAGAAAATAAAAATCGTTGTCGAGTTTATCAAAGTTTTTAATACACTCAATTTTAGATGCGTATGCTATAAATGCATAAAATCCGTAGGTTAGTCACAGTAAATCCTCGATGAGTGTTAAATTAATGGCTATGTGCCATAAAAATATCATTGGCTTTAGAATTCCAAGCTCTATCACCGTGATAAACCTCATTAGAAAGTATAGTAGTATATTTCCCCATTAAAACCTTCACGGTGACCTGCCTCTATCACACTAGGCTTTCCATGCTTAAATAGTGTATATAATATTTGTTGGAAGTATAGATCCTAATATTCGTTGCAATTGTAAGTTGATCAGTGTCGTGTAGAGCATTACTGACTCGGCGAGAAAGTCGGGAACATTTTATGTATGTACAGTAAAACCTGTTTTTATGCGGTAGATAGGGACCGCATAAAAGAAACCGCACAAAAAAATATTCGGAAATTTCATAAATACTACATATAATAAACAACTTTGTACGACATACTACAGAAATTTTTTTTTATGCGGCGGAGAGGGACCGCATAAAAAAAGTCGCACTTAGAAAATACGTCAATTATTTACGAAATACATGAGAAAGTGCTTCCAAACAAAATAAATAATTAAATTACACATTATAAAAGCATTTAATTTTTCATTGTATACATGGAGAAGTTTTCAAAATGCACATTACATAATTCACTGCTAGTCGTCGTAATCCTTAACGCGCATCTTCTTGTGATGAATTGGTTCACCATCTGCTAGTCTATTTAATATTAGATTTTTTGTTTCTAATGGAATTGTCTTTCTTTTCACTTTTTTTTGGCTACAATTATTCATTTTAAGGGAGTACATATGTTTAAAAATAAAATGAAAATCATAAAAACTATATACAAATAGAAACAAAAGTAATTAATTTATTTACCTTTAATCTCACTATAAAATGAATCCTTAATCACGTGAGTCGTGGATAAAACTCGGAATACGAAGCGTATGCTGCTAGCGCGTCGAGCGAAAATAATTGAATGTACATTGTCGGGAAACTGTTTAAACCAAATGAACAGAGCGTCTTGAAGTGTATATTTATATGTACACTGATAGAAAACATTACAGTAATGCCAACGCCGTTGAAATTCATATACCGCATAAAAAAAAATCGCACAAAAAAAATCGCACAAAAATAAAATCGCACAAAACAAATCGCATAAAAACAAAATCGCATAAAAAAGGACCGCACAAAAACAGGTTTTACTGTACATGATACTCTTGTTACTCTCTCATTTGATTATGCGATCAATTTATTTTTAAAGACAGTTCGATCGTATGCATAAAGAGAATGGAAATGTATTTATGTGAAAGTCCAGCTGAATAGGTCAGGCCGTATGATAAACAGTCATTCCTTTATGCACCGCCATTTTTACAACGATTTTTACAACGATTTTTACAGCGATTTTTACAACGATCCTTACGACGATTTATACGACGACAACTTTAATACGACTTGCCATTTTTGCATGCTGAATGCGCTTTTCGAGTAGCCCAAGAATCACCGTAAGGATGCCATTGTCGTAATTTTCTTCCCAGAAATCTGTTCAAGAGACAGCGGGTTGTGCCGTTCGACTTGCCGACCTGATGTATTCTTTTCCTCCGAATAATCTCCGCGGAAGGTGCTTAAAGTTTACTCCAGAGTTTCCTCTTAATCCTATTAGACGACCTTAATTAGTTTTACCTTCCGACTACTTGGCACCTCCTTCAGAGCCCCGAATCTTTAAAGTACGCTGAAAGTTCGAAGTAATTGTGTCCCCATGATGAACATCCTGATTGGTACTCCGTAAGGCGTTTCATTTTTCGCACGGTCAACGACGAAACTTTTTCGACAATCTTGGACTAGATTGTATTAGTGTTCTCGAGGTGACGACGAAATTATTGGCGTGCAATTTAAAAAAAATATCGGGGAACAGTTGACGTGTTTGCGAACTCGAAGAATCGCTTTGGGATATAAATAATTTACCAATCACGTTTCAATGCAAATCAGGGAGCCTAATCGACACCATCTGCCAGAAATTAATTAATACGTAACAAAAGGTCATGTGTTTCGTTAGAAACTGTACATCCCTCTAATTCTTTTCCATCCCGTCGCAGGTAATGTATTTTTTTCTAATATCGACACACGTATCGATTATATTATTCCTTATAACCGTGGCTACGTAAGCAGCCTCGTAAAATTTTGTCGTCGCACGACTGAATAACGATTCCCTGTCAAGTATGCCCAGGCAGAGCGGGGCTCGTAAATTACGAAATTAAATTACTTTCGGTAAGGCTATCGGGAAGGTCCTCTACTGTTGGCGATATCGTTCGTTATACGAAATTTGCATAAATTGAGAATGTAATGCCCTTTCGATCTTCCTCGAGCTATGTATATATCGGGAATACAAATTGCGCTCGATTAAACTTTGATTCATTACGGTCATTACTTCCGAGGAAGAAGTTATGTCGCCGCGAAAAACCGACATGGATACGTATAACTGTGATTTACATACACTTTTAAGTGATTCTTGTTGAGTCTTCATGCTTTTAAAGTCCGATCCAATCGTTTATACAAAATTTACGAGATATTGTACTGTTTATGCGTGTGTGTGTCACTTTTTATAGCATATCATTATTCCAGAAACATAAGTAAGCCAGACTTCATGAGGTCGTAATAATAATTAATGTGTTGTACATTCCATAACTTTTTTACTTAATCCATGATTGTAGATTCTGTGACACCATAAAATGCCCTTCAGTAATTCTATTCTTTCGAATCTCACTGTATTATCTGCCTATCATACTTTCATAATCTTATTATCTTAATACATACTATACGCGCGACTAATCAATAATTCAATGTAAAGAAAACCAGGAATCATGCTTGAGGAACAAGGCGAAATTTCGCATACTTACGCTTTAAGGATTTACCTAGGGTCCACAACACCTACCCGCCCCTAAACTGTCGTCCCGCCGCACTATTTCCGTCGCTTTCGGCGCTGTCGTAAAAAGACGCGTGGACGTGTATTAATAGATTGCTCCGAGTACGCATCCCTGGTGACATCGCGTACCATCGAAATTCAGCCAAAACCGCGGCATGAATTTCTCTTATGCAACCTTCGAACCAATACACACGGGGGCCAGAGGGGAAAACGATACAGCGCCTCGCGTCGACACGCGGAAGCCGACGGTGACGGTCGTCCACGCCTCTTTCGAACCTTCGCGATTCAATCTCGGATATATCCACGGATACACGGTGCTTCCCATCCCGTCGAGAATGTTTTATTCCGTGTGATCTGCGTTAGCCGAGGACAGATTTATTTATGCACGTGCTGAACCTTTTCCTGTTCCCTGTGTGTTTCAGAATCACGAGTATGGCGGGTACGGAGACGAGCCCCGACGCAAAAGGTGAGTTCAATATTCTCTTTAATATAACCAAGTTTTTTTATGGTGAGTTGAACGGAAAGTTTTTTCGTTTCTTTTTGTCGTTAGAGTGTTTCAACTGTACATACATAATTAGAACATATTGAACCGTGAATAGTACTGTAGTAATAAGACGATGAGTTATGGCACTTGTCGCTATAAATCCACTGCATTTATCGCTATAAATCCACTGCATTTATCGCTATAAATCCACTGCATTTATCGCTATAAATCCACTGCATTTATCGCCTCTGACTGCCCGAAACGTACTGGTGTATCCTTTGTACCAAAATCTATAAGAACACATACAAATTTTAACGACAACAATATCTCGAGAACCGCTGCACCGAACTGATTCAGCTTTGGTGGACTCAGTCTATACATAAAAATCTAGTGCCTGATCGTGGCTTTTTGTATTTCATTGTGTAGTTTTTATTTTATAGATCAAAAATGAACGATTTTTTTTGTCGAAAATCGATACTTCGACTTTGAACAGCCACCGTTTTGTCGTAAATTAATTTTTCAGGATAATGAACGATCGGGCACTAGATAATTTAATATGTTAACTGAATTTGCTCGGATTTTTTATTTTAGATAAACGAACTCGAAGTTACAGTGGTCACTCCAAAACGCCTAAAATAAAAACACCGTCGGGTGATCGCTCATATTTCCCCTATTTCTTCATATTTTGCATTGAAGAAATTATTATAAGCACTTTAAAATGTAGACTTTCGAATACAATGACGTATGTTTAAAAAAGTCGTCACGTTTTTTAAAAATAAATTCCGAAAGTACATATCTTTTATCGAGTTCGAAGGTAGGCATAACCCCTTAAGCGGGGACTACTGTATCTACATGAAATTAACGAATTACAATCGGATCTTCGAGAATTCGAGTGCACGCTGTCTCCAGGTAGTTCGTGTCAAACGCAGTCGTGTTCCTCGGTCGCGGTACGCGCTCCAGCGACAAGACGAAGGAAAGTTAGCTGCGAGTTCACCGAGCGGATATCGTTCGATATCGAATTCCCGCCACTTTGAATCACACTTAACGCTCGAGTTAACTTCTTATTATTAGACTTGGCTCCCGAGCCGAGGAGAAGAGAGGCACAGGTCGGATCAGTCGGAAACTTCGGTGACCGGCTGCGACGTTTTAATTAATTTCGACGTATGCGTCGGGTATGCGACGTTATCACCAGCCAGTTTCACGGCACGGTCTTCCTTTCAACGTCGAGTCCGTTGTTACGACCACGTTGCTCCGCGAGAAACTATGACTGGCGTGCGAGAAGCGCAAATAGCTTGCAACAAGATGAAAACGAACAGTTTCATTCTTTTAGACTATTTTAGAGACTCGTTGCATACGGATGCATGGCTATGAGATAGTATGGCAGTATAAACTTACAGTTAATGTTAAATAATGTATACGAAATTAAACGAAGAAAAGATATAGGGTAAACCAACCAGTGTTAAAAAATTATTAAATGTTTATAAATGGAATGTAGTTGCACGTTTAATATTCCATATTTTTAGTTCAACGTATTAAGCAGACACTAATAAGTACAATTCTTATTAAAAATATTTCAGAAATGTAACAGTCATTTACGGAGATTTTACACGTTCTGCATTTTATACAGTTTTTTTTGAAATTATGATAAGGATAAGTAATTGTTTTTATACAAATTTCCAGAAAAATAAATGTAATTGCAAATTCAGCAACTATTTTGTTGTTATAAATAAATACATTCGAGTATTAACCTCGAACGTCCATAAATTCAACAATTCGGTCATTCACTGGATGGGATTACCTTATTAAAAATTTAACGCAACGAAACGGTACAGCAGAGCTAAAAATATTATATATTCTATATATTATCCGACCCTGTGTTATCAGATATCTTTCTGCATGGTAAGGTTTCAAAGAAGCTAATGAGAACATTTTTTAAACATAGAGAATTAAGTACGTGAAAAGGTTATGGCTGTATGCAGGTTACTATTACGAACTTTTCGAGTGACGAACGATGAAACCATTAAGACTAGTTTAGCAACTCATATTATCAAGATTAGATCGAGTTACGCGAAAAAGATGCGATACCACATGATTAACGATCAACTGTCCGAAAATGAAGCAATTCCACTCTGAGTAATCGGTTGCAAAAAAAATGTAGGTGGAAAAAAATTGCCTAAGATTAGAAGGACGAACAAAGCCCCGTAGGTCGAATCTCCATCGTTTCCACTGGCGGTGGTTTCGGAATTCAGAAGTAGGAGCAACAGATTCGCAGAGAATTGGTCACTTTGAATTGCAAAAAAAGAGGAACGGAAGGGCCGAGAACTCTTTCCTTCTCGTGGCGAAATGGCGGCTGGCTGAATTTCCAATTGGTCAGGGGGTGAGACGGAAGAGGGAACAACGTCGATGCGGAGGCATGAAAAATGTATAGCCGGCTATCTATCAATAGGCGCGCTGCTTCTCTTTTCGTTGTATCGCGCGACCTCGTTGAATCTCGGAAGGAAATTACGGCGTACAATTTTTCCTCCGTTTCTCCTACGGGTAATCGAATATTCGAACCTCTCTCGCCCTTCCACCAAGTACGGACCAGCTCTGATTTAATAAAGAATTTCGCCAACTGTGCACCCTGGCCTGATGTAATTTCACTGCAATTGAACGTTGCCCCGGGAAATGCTGAATTTTTCACTGCCACCGGCTCGACGAGTGTCCCGTGGCAGAGTGCACATCGAATTAGACTGTCGAATAACTAAATTGCTCTAATTATTCGACAATGGCTGCACAGTGTTCTCTTTATATATGGGTTCGATTTGTTCTGTACGCTCTAAGCTTCTTGTCGATATTATTTTTTCGTTGGTATTCTTTCGTGCTCGTTGATGCACGAAAAAGAAAGACGTGCGATTATTGGCGACCTCGTTATAAGCTCGGTAGAGATCCTGAAATACGAAATTTAGTCATAACCTTTAACTGGTGAAGTGGGCTCTGAGGAACCTGACGAAGATTTTTAGAATATTTTATTTTTATATCGATTGTTACAGAAACAGGTGCTTGTTAGTTTCGATGTTTTTCAGGCAACTAGTTATCTAATAAGTAGATTGCGGATTTTTATGCAAAATCATATTTTCTAAAGTAGTTCATAAATACATTAGCAAATATAGGAATTTTTTCCACTTGAGTACTTTATTGGGTTCAGACTAATAATATACAAAATTCCTTGCATCTGATGAAAGTTTAGCGGTATATTGTATTTCACAGAGCCCTGTACGTTATAATTGCATAAAATCCGTAGTCTAGTAACAAATAATATTCCCACCTCACCAGTTAAGTGATGAAGTACCATTTGCCATGCAAGGATCACAGGCGTAATCGTGTTTTTTCTTTCCTTTTTTTCAGAGAAGACAATAATACACCAAATCACGTTCTCCTCTTCACAATAATCAACCCAGTCTACCCCATCACTGTGGTAAGTGCAGATCCCCTTGTTAATTAATCATCAAATTCGTAACTCGCCTGTCTCTACTATTTATTAAACACGCAGTACCACTTGAGATACACCAGATCTCGTGTCTCGACGCACACATGATTCAGCACGGATGCATTTTTCGTGAATGTCTAAAATGTTCGTGAAAACGTTACAACGACGCGTACGTGACATTGCATTCTACAATCGTGTCTCGTGATACGTGCCCGCGTGAAAATAAAAGTTCAACCGAAAAACTAGAACAGCGAAAGAAACAAAAACCAGACGACTCGACGGACTCTGGTCACAGTACCACCGAACAGAGCTCGACAAATTGCATTATCCGATACATGAAAGAGCAAAAACAAAAAAACGTGCGCACACACGTACGGCGGGAAATTCGAACAGGAAAAAATGGAAAGAGTATCGTGACCGACAGTAGGGTTGGGAGAGGTGGGGGGAAAACACAAATTGTTGGCGTGAACGCGAGCACCATACAGGTTTCGCAGGCCGTCCGTGCCGCATTTTATTTCTGTTTTGTGCCAATAATAGATGAGCTCCTCCGATGCTGTTTCTGTCTCACGAATGGTCGATGCCTCGCGCGCGATCTGGCATTGTTCGCGATCCGTCCATTCGCGAGTCCATCGCGCATACCTACCAGGTCACACAATGCTTGTATTCCTTTTCGTTGATTTTCCATCGTTTCTTTTTTCTTTCTCTTTTGCCAAGCTTTATCTCCGCGACGGACGCACTAATTAAAGAGCTTCCACCCCCCTCCCTTGAAGTCTTTCGTCTTGCTCAAGGAATCAGTCGGAGAGAGAAAGAGGAGGCTCTCTTTTGCGTAGAGTATGCGCCGCTGCCTCTGTCGTTTTGCTCGGAACCGCGTTTGTGTCTTCCCCTCCTCCCCTCGACTCGCTAAATGGAAGCAGCATCGGTTTTACTTTAATTATCTCCGACGATTTCCGGGGTCGCGAGCCAATTGAAATTTTAATCCCGTCGCGGTATATACCCCCTCCCACGCCATGGTCTGACGTCGATTTATGCATTCAGACCGAGGGGCAAAGAGAAAGGGGAAAGCGTTTTCGCTCTCGTAGAAGGCACCGCGGAATAATTCTCATTCTTTCTCTTTCTCTTGTTCTCTTCATATTCTGTCTGTTTCTGTTGCTGTCCCCCTTGGCGGACGAATCCCTTTACGACGGATTCGCAATAACGCGAATTAATGACGCGTGACGCGGGATCCGGAGGGCGGGTTATTCCGCGAAACGTTGAGATGAGGCACTCCAAAGCGGACCACCGCGACGATTTCTCGCTTTTTCGAAAGCCACTCCCCGAAGGGATTGTTTCGTACGTATGGTACGTAGCCACTATAATCCTTTTGTCTATCCAGCCCTCTGTAATGTATTCGAAGAAATTCAATTGGGGATTTAAACATTCCATGCGAATAGGACGTTGCGGCAGGTTCTCGGCGGAAATATTCCCGTTCGTGGACAGTTTCATTAAAATTCCGGGGGGCTCGTGATTTCCTGGCGAATGCGTGGATTGTAATTGGACAGATAGAGTACGATAAGGAGTCCCGTTTGTAAAGTGGGGTACAAAATGAGAAGCATTGAATCTTCTGCTTCGTTTAATCCTTTCGATGTTTATGTCGAGTATACTGGACATGAAAAAATGGTATTTTGTTGTTTAATGACGAGGATACTCGTTACTTTATTACTAAAGAGATGTTCATTTGCTATTTACACCTTTGCGATTCGAAGAGTTCTTGGTATTCTGTTTTGAGCTCGCATAAATATCATATATTTTAACTACATTGTAATACGTTGATTTGATAATATTTCAAAGACTAATAGAGTACGGTTGCACCAAAATTGAACCTTGGGTTAGTCTCGACATAGGACAGCAAAGGGTAACATGGTAAGGCTAAAATAAAATTTAGGTAAAACATAAAACGTATTCGTAATTTTAACATATTTTAAAATAAAGGATATCACTTCCAAGTCATTTTATTTAGAATTTATTTCAATTTTATAGCAAATGTATTTACTCTACTTTTGTAAAGTATATTCGTCATAGCTTAAAAGTAACTGAGCACACAAGTGCACGTTATCGAAATGAAATAAAACACTTAAAGCGTTAACAGGCTGAATCTATCATAGATTGTTTCAGCGACGTAAAATCAACACCAATAACAGATTCCCAACGTCGGTATACTCTGTCGATGTTTCCTCAACGAGCATCCACTGTCATGGAGTTTGATTTCTTGCGTTCAGTTCACCGCGATATGCAAATTGATTCCAATAATTTGCACAGGCCTCGTAGCAGTGGCGACGGTTTTCGGTGAAACATTCCTGTTATTGAATACTTTCATTAAAATACGACCTCGTGGTTTCTTGACAAATACGTAGATTGTAATTCGAAAAATCGAGTAAGATAAACAAGTAGTCTCACTCGTGAAATAGAGAACAAAATGAGAAGCATTGAAAATTCAGCTCAATTTATTTTCAAAACGAGAAAAAAATGTGCTTTTAGCAAACGAAACGTGCCTGCACCGTCTACCTATCATACAAGTCTCAGCGACGCAAAATCAACAAACAGTAACAGATTCCCGTGTACCCTATCGACATTTCCTCAACTGGCATCCACTGTCACGGAATTTGATTTCTTGTCTTAAGTTCGCTCGCGCGCGATATGCAAATTAAACTCGAATAATTTGCACGACCCTCATAGCAGCGTGTGTCGCGAGCCGATAAACGTCAGCCGTGCTATAGAAACGCCTCTGTAAATCGTGGCGTAAAGAGCCAAAGAGCCGTTTCAAATTTCCCGCAATTTGCTTTATTCCGTAGTTACGCGCAGACGAGACTCAATGGACGGCGGCGGCACGGTCTCGTATCGCGTGGAAAAGAAAATATATAGAAAAGCACTCGTGTGTGTGTGTGTGTGTAGTTGGAGTACGTAAGCTGGTCTATTTATCATCTCAGACCAGGGAGGAATTTATTGAAACGACACGGTGTGTAACACGCAGCGTTGGACGTCTGCATTAAGCCCGTTGCACACGCTTGGCCGCGCGTGCCTCCGTATCGCGTCACGTCTTCTGGACCAAGCGATTTCTCAGGCGGCTTCTAACCGACGTGTTTGTCTCGGCGTTGTCTCGCCTGGTATTTTACCCGGCAATTAGAACGCACCGATCGATACATCATCGTATTACCGAGGGAATTTATCGAAACGATCCGAGGATTCCTTTTGGACCCTTAAGCCTCGTACACATCGACAGAATGTCTTATTCCACACGACTCTCTGGAGCTCGCTACGAATCACAAGGAACGCGGGGATGGTTTATGGTACGGAGTAGCTGCCAAGTTTTCGACACTTGCTCAAAAGAACGACACTATCGATCACGCATCGCTGGCGCACACACGTGACTCGAATATGATCTCGCGGGCACTTTCACGCGTGTGCCCCGGCTTTATTGAACGGACAGTACGTGATTTCTCGTGTGCTTTTTAGTCGAACCCTTTAATGCCCAGTGTTGTACTGGTGCAAAATTTATTTTAAAAGTGTGTTAAATTCAAGTATTCCGAATTCAGCATCGACAATAATTTGGTATTAATTTCATTGGTGTACATAGCTGGTATAACAATCTTTCTGCATTCTGAATGCTGTACAGTTTAGTGGAAGTATTGAAATTTTAATTCTGATTTATATGAGAATTAGCTTCTCGACAGTGACTATCGACATCAGAAGCACAATTAATAAGCCCAAGGGTGGAAAAAGTATTAAGGCAATTAAAAAGAGTGTTTTTACACATCGAGCTGTTATTTGGAAGGAACCATTTATCGCAAGACACATATATTCTTGTGCATTACACCGACTAGGTCGAGAAGTCTATGTCGGCTACTGTACATAGCCATGAATTTTCGTGCGCTTTAATACCAGTAATAACTCATCCACCGGAGCCCTGTTAGAGTCAGCGGATTAAGATTAACACCTTCGCGCGGCATGCGTATCCACCGAGTTGACTCCTCGTGTTTCTACCTCATGGCGTGCTTTTATTTCGAATACCGAACGATATTACAGCACAGACACATACACACATAAGTCACACGGGGGGCCACGATAACTGTTATTTTAGAATAGCGACGTGGTGGCCGCCGTTTCGTCGAATTTATACGACGGTGTTCGCGTCACCGATAGCTCACCGGCGCGCACCAATGAAAATATTTTAATTGGCCACGGCTCGATCGTCCGTCAGGCTCGACTAAATATGCATTAGGCGAAGATAGCCGAAGTGGTTGAACGCGGTGGCTACCGGTTGATCTGCAACGGGAATTTCTATTTAGAGTGTTTGGTTCACGATCCTGGTATCTCAGGCTTGTTGGCCCCGTGAATCACACTTGTTTTTGATTAGGGGGATAATCTAACTGGGTATTATTAAATTGCGAGAGTTCTGTTTATATTCTGTTATTGGTTGCTACTCGGTACGCAAGTGGACGGTTTCGTTGGTAAATATTTTAGTAATAATATAGTATCAGTAATAATTTTCTTATTTTACTGGGTACATTAGAATCGATTCTTGTTGAGAATTGCAAGTAAGTTGGACTACCGTAATACATTGGCATTGGGAGTAATTTTAAATTACTTACAGTGGTTTTATGAGAGTGAATGTTCTGTTTCAGCTGAATTTATTGTACTGTGTAAGGCTGGTTTGAGGTATGAAATTATTGAAATTAGTAAATAAACAAATCCGAATTGTGGGGTGTTATGAACAATTTTCAGCGTTCGTTTCGTTTAGCAATGACTTGGTTTTCGATTTAAACTGGAACTAATCAGCATAAGTACACTCGAACAGTCTCGCACAGCTGGCAGCTTATAAACATTGTATAGGTTATTAAAATAATTCTAAAAGCCAGAAGGTGATATTGTACCTACTGCTACGAAATATTGTACCACTGTATTCATTTTCCTCGAAACGCCCGAAGAATTGCTAAACGACGCCGTATCTTACG